AAGGAAGAGAAATAAGGACATGAAAGGTCCCGGTTCGAGGTCCTGGATCGACCTTTCGTTGCTATTTTCATTCTTTTCAATAGAAACACTCTCAATAACAGGTCAAAAAAAATTAAAAATGGCAGTGACCGTTTACGAAAAGAGACGACTGCACCGGGAGCAGCTACAGGATCACTTATCATTACTATCCTTATTTTTTGACTGTCATGGTAAGTCTCATTATTTTCGTAGCCTCTGCGAACTCTTTTCAGAGACGTTCGTAAATTGTGTGGCTCAAAAAATGTTTAAAAAATGCTTCCAATCTAGTTTGATTTTAAAGCCCCGTGCAAACGGACCCAACATTGTTGGCGAACAACTCCCAACATTGTTGGATGTTACATGTTATGTTCGTTTTAATAACCTGTTGCATGTTGTTGCTTGTTGTTGGGAGTTGGCGCGCAAAGCTTGAAACCGGTCAAACTCTTAGCCACATGCAAACGGACGCAACAACTCGAAACATCAGTTTGGGCCAACAATTTCGTACATCTCAAGATAGCAATGAGTGATTAAGCGGGTCATACTAGATCTTGTAGATGGTAAATGGTAATGTAAATTTAAAAGTCGAAAACATATTAACTTGAATGTTTTTCTAAAGCACAACAAAGACAGTAAAATCAATTTATCAGACCCTTCTCTGAGTGCGTATCCCCGGCGTTGAATAGCCAGTCAGAGCAAAGACCAACCGGCTGCTTTTAATCGGTCGACAGAGATCTAAATATCTGAATTGAATCGAAGTATTCCAAGAACAAGATGGCAGTATTTTTCTTCGCGCGGAGGTAATATTATGAAAAAGACAGATGTCCTTTTAAAGGGCACTAAAGAAAACATTTTTGCTGGTCATTTTTTATAGGATTATGCCTCCCATTAAAGGTAGAAGACAGAAGCGTGATACTCGATGCTAGAATAACTGCAAGTTCTTATTTTGGGTTTGGCGGTTCAGATCCATACTATCCATATTTTGGGCGGTTAAATGAGAACAGAGGAAGAGGTGGTTGGTGTCCCAAGACTTCCTCAACTTCTGAGTATCTTCAAATTGATATGGGCAGAGACCGTTTCGTTTGTGGAGTGGCAACCCAAGAAGCCAAAGAAACTCAGTTCACTACTAGTTATAAGATACGTTTTTCATCGGATGGTGCAACTTGGAAAACCTACAAAGAGAATAAATCTGAAAAGGTAAACATAGTGCAAGATAAAAAGTAAGAAATATACTACATCCTTTTGTTATTACTATTTATTACTATTTACCTTAGGTTAGCTTTATTTTCCTAGGTTACTGTATTGTTATTATTATTGTTTAAGTTACAAACAGTATTATGAAGGTGGTGATGATCCTTGCAGTTGAATAAACAACCTAAGCAGTCGATTGAGTACCTGAAAAAAATTAGGCTTGACCTGAAATATAACCCTGGACCCAGTTGTTCGAACGCGGTTAGCGCTAACCCGGGGTTAAATTATAACCCGGGTTTCTTTTTCTTTTTATCAAAAGCACTCCTTTCTCGGATAATTTTCTCTATTTATTTTAGCACATCCAATCATCAAATTGTAGGCGGAGAGAATTCAACTGATTTGGCTTTTGTAAGCTCTCATATCTGAGTTCAAAAATTTGCACCAACCCTGGGTTATCTAAATCCAGCTTCGAACAACCCGGCCCTGGGGCCCGTTTCTCGAAAGTCCCGATAATTAACGGGCCCGGTAAGCTGTCGCCGTTTGCATTAAAGATCGAGGTTTCAATAGTTTTGCATCTAGCATGATAAAACCATCACTTAGTGAAACAAAATGGAGTAGTCTGCTAGCTGGGACCCGCGCTCTTATTCTTTATATTTCGATTTGAATATTTGATTTCGGGCCCAAAAAGTTACCGGGACTTTCGAGAAACGGGCCCCTGACCAGTACGATGACCGGACGCAACGCGCTGTCCATTGAGTGGGTTCATAAAAAAGCCGATGGTCCAAATGAAATCAGGGTGGTAATGTATGAAATGACTCGTATTTTGGAATGCGGATAAAGAAATGAAAGTGGAAATGATCCTCGCTGTTGAATAAACAACCTACTAGTCCGACACCGTAATTTTGGCCCTGGCCAAGCGACTTTTCAGAGAGCTTTCCTTATTATTCACTAACTCGTGGATCGACGAGTCTTTTTAAGCTAGTTTTCACCAAAATACAATTAAACCAAGGTGTCCGATCTAAGGTACCCTACGAGCAGAGGCTACATTTTCGCTGTGTAAGCTAGCGTGCGAAAAGTAGCCTCTGCCGACAACCGTTCAAATCCGTCCAGAAATCTGGACGAATAAATTAAAAAAACGGGCCTTTTTCTGTTCTTGACCGGTTTAGAGCATTGCGTGAGTCGAGCGTGAGTCTTGCCTAGCAGATCAGAGTTGTCGCAATTTGTTTAATCCCGCGAAACTCGCGCCATTTGACGACAGACCTGACGATTAATTTCCCTTGAGAATCACATGACGAATTTCGAGCACGCACGATAGAAAATTGAACGGTTGTCAGCAGAGGCAGCTATTTTTTGCACGCCAGTTCACATAGTGAAAATGTAGCCTCCGCTCGCAGGGTTAGAGCTAAGGGGACGAATCGCAAAGCAAACGTCAGTTTTTGTTCAACGAACTTTTCAAGCGACCAAAAATACATTCCCTTTAAAGTCACGTTTTTCCTTTAGGTATTCGTTGGAAAAAGAAGCATCTTGCAGCATTCCCTCAGCACCACCGTCAAGGCCAGATTTGTTCGGTTTTATCCCGTTGCATACAGTGCTTATCCATGCCTGAGAGTTGAAATATTTGTCGTCCGTTGATGCATCGACAAGGCTCATTTAAGAGAGCGTAATGGTTATGTAAAACTTAGTGTTAAGTTCTTGCTTACTTAAGGACTCATTTACGCTATGTAAAACGGCAATTGAAAGCATGCGTTGCAATTTTCGCCTGTACCAAAGAAAGGAGGAAAAGTGCTGTGCTGCCACAGTGATTTGCCAAATGGTCACTTATTAGTAGTTTAAGCTGAGACCACCTTGTGAGTGATGTTTCAAGAAGCCGAGTTTTTACTTTTTCATTAACAATGTCAACGCTACAACAAAAATTCTTTCTTTACAGTTCAAATAAAAACATGTACCAATTAATTTCTAGCAACAGAGATTATTTTATTAATTATTTTTTCTAGGACAAACTTTGTTTGATACAAAGCAGTTCCGCTCTTGCTCTTCAAAATAATACAGACAAAAGTTTGCGGGGAAGATGAAAGCTCAGTACTGCTTGATCGAAAAAAGTTCAAAAGTTCACTTTCTTCTGAGTAGACTGAACGATGTATATAAAGATATTGTTCATTTTGGTCTGTGAATAAAGGCTTTGTTTCAATGTTTGAAAGTTGTTTCCCTGAGTAGTGCTGGTCTTGGCTACAGGTGATGGGGTCGGTTTATGGAGCTGGGCTATTAATACCAGCATGGTTGCTAGAGATTGGCGTACCACGAGCCTCACTCATGGTTCGTGGGTTTCAATGCGAACCATTGTTGGGGTTGTTAGAGGACGAAACTGTTCTCTCAGCGGTTCTGCAAGTGATAGCGATCGGCTGATCGTAGGCATCAAAACTTCAGGAATGACAATTCCGAAAAGAAGTAGACAACAAAATTCAAAGCGAAATAATCTGAGCAAAGTAACCCATTTAGCAACATTCATATACATGGTCAGTTGTATATTTGAAGGCTCAGCCAAGCTAAGACACGATGGTTTAGGGGTAATAAGTCTATAACGTCCAGGCGAATAGAAGTGTCACGTTTTCATTTTCTTAATAGAGAGATTAGGAGTCACGTTTACGGCAAACGGCAAACAGCAAACGTCAGATTCATGTTGAAAATTTTCCAGAGAAGAAAATAAGCAGATAAAAACTGTCCAAAACAATTCTTATGGATAAAACTGGCGCGAAACTACTTATTTTTGAGTAGAGGTAATTAACAGTAAACGACAATTAAGGGAAAAACTTGATCACGTGGTACAAATTCACGTTTGCCGTTTGGCGTAAACGTGAACTATTATTACAAAGAATTGGGGAACTTCTTAAGAATCTCCAACAAAATTTCATTATTTGATTTTAGATTTAAATTGAGATTTGCCCAACGACTTTAGAGATTGAACTGTAGTCCGTTCCATATCGCAGTACCAGTTCTTGCCTTTGATTTTTGATCTTTTCAGTCCGGGAGCACTCAACATAATAACGAGGATTTGACATTTAATGCATCAATTATTCCAACGAACTCTTATAGAGTCTAGGCTAAGTGTGAGGCAACGTCTTCTTTCAAAAATTTGTTGTAACAGCTGCCTCTCGCATTTGGATTGTAAGGGTAAAAATAGCCTGCATCCCCCACCCCTCTTCCCCCCCACCCGCAGCCCTCATTTACTTACCCGTGAGAATATCATGAACTAAATATGATATGTGGAACGACATAAACCGATAGATGAACACAACTTTTAATGCCACGAGCAACAGGATGGTAGGCCCAAAGAAAAAGAACTAGGGCCTAGTCCCTTACGTATTAAAAACATACTGTTACTAAACGGAAGTCTCTACAGGTAATCAGTTCTTAAAGGCACCAAAAAAAAAATATACTGTTCTGGCAAAAATAAAGTGGAAAGTCTTTGGCAAAGTATCAATAAATCTTGGCAACATATAATGTTTATCAAAAGAATCACTGCACTAGGTCCTAAAATGGTATAACAAATAGAATAAATGCAAAAACATGAGCACAAGTAGTAAATGTGACCTTGAACAAACGAGCTTGTATAAATACTTAAATTGCGAAATAAGAATTTCTATCCATTAAAACGAGCACGTCATATAATTGCACGTCCACTCTTAGTCCGATTGGTCCCGGGATTCTAACTGGTGCAGGAAGGTCCCGAAGTGACACTGACATCCCTGGCAGGACCAGAAACAATGGTGTGGAGTGCCTTAGTGGACTCGGGAGAATCACGAGAGGGTTGAACAACAGGGTCATTAGACTTGGCAATTGCAGGCTCATCGTCTCAGCCAGGGGGAGAAAGCTACTTTCCATAAATTCTCCTAAAGGAAATCCAAACGATGTTCTCACAATTTGCATAGAGAATATTAGGTCCTGCTAGCGGATTTTTATATTTATCATGCGCACTACGTCAAAAACCAAATATCAAAGGTTTTGAGAAGAAACAAAAGCATGGCGGTCGAAGGCGGGACTATTTCTCACACTTATACTCTTGGTATTTCGCAAATTTAGTGAATTTTTGTCGCGGTTTAGACAAAGTGTGTGGTTTGCTTTTTCCTTCAAACCATTATCTCTTTCGCAGAGTTTTGATTATGCAACGTATGGCCGATAAGAACCTCCGAAGATTTATGCTATCGAGTAGCGTTTTGCTGAAAACCTAATTAAGGAAAGTTAAGGTCGCTTCAAGGTACAGAGATTTCAACAATAGTCGTCATGTTTATTAGGATCGTTTTGACTTCTAACTTTGTATTCAAAGTTTTGACTGATCGTTATAAACGAAGAGGAAGTTAAATGTTATCCATGTCACTGTGGTCAAGGGGTTGAGGTTAAGCCAGTTAATAAACTCATGATAGTCCATCTACTGCACCCATTCAGAAAATAATTTATTATTTACCAACTATAATTCCCTTGCTATTGAACAGTGTTTTATTGAGACAAGAGCAAACTAAAAAGATGTAAGAGACATTTAGAGGGAATGCCTCACAGTCTACTTTGGTATCCAAAGTGTCCAGTTCCTTTTAAGTTTTCGATAGTGATGACTCTTATCGTTGGAGGCGCTAAAATTTTTCTAGGTAACTCTGAAATCATGGATCTTTAGGCTGAGTTAATTGTTTTTATATGTTTGTTTTGTTTTTTATTTGTTTTTCTTTTTGGAGATTCCGCTGAACCAGATCTTTCAAGAAATTGCATCCTACTTATCGCAAAAATACTGTTTTATTGATCTAATTTCCTTTCCTCTTACTGAGGTCCTTACTCTTTTAAGGTTGACCAGTAAACTTGCTGGATTTACAGTTTTTAAAGGGGAGTTTTAGCAACGACGACGGCGAAGGCAACGAGGACGTCAAAACAGCAATAGGCTTATTAAGCAAAAACAACACGTTTGCACCTGCATCACGCTTTTTTGTAAATTTCTTTGCCGTTGCTGCACGACTACGATGTGAAGATGTCTTAGGGCCTGTTTACATGGAGTGGGGGACCCCGGTCTAGTGGGGTAAGTTTCTTTTGTTTTCACGCTCTGGGGGACACAAAACAAAAGAAACTTACCCCACTAGACCGGGGTTACCCACTCCATGTAAACAGGGTCTTAATTCACGTTTTATGGAGGACGTAAACAAGAGACGACGAAATTTTCTTTCTCTTTCTACACTCGAGTGCGGTCCCCAAGAAATCAACTCCAGGGAAATTGGCCTGCATTTCAAATTTCCATGAATTGGAATAAAAAAAAAAACGCGATTAAGTTTGAAAAACGCTAATTCACTTTAAAAGTGATGTTTCCGCTGCCGTTAAACGGTCCTGGAATAATGTTGTGAAATATTTCGGTGTATTAGCCGATAAAGTCCTCGGATACGAGCACGTGTTAAACCACTTGTTTTGTTTTTGTTATTTTTTTTGCTTCTGATGAAAGGCATATTGTTTACAGGCCCCTATTTTTTTGCCCACAAGATCGCGTTTGCTGTGACGAGCAGCCATGTAGGTTTCATGTACCATTAAGGAGGGGGTCGGATGTCGCCAGTCTTCCCACAGTACGTTCCCGCACGCTCCCTTTCCCGGCGAGATTTGATACTTTCCCCATTTTAAACCAAGGCGGCAACTTAAGGGGAGATTTCATTTGAATTTTGAGGGAATTGGGGTTGAATTGAGAATGAAAGAAAGAAGGATAGAAGAGGGTATACACGTAAGCCAGTTAACACTGATTGGCTCAGGGCCACCTTGTTGTGGTGGCGGACTGTCTGGGCTTTTGTCTGTTAATTATTTACTTCAAATTATAAATTCTAACTACCTTTGAATCCACTATTTTCTCATTTTTCCATAACTTTTAATATTTGCCTTTCAAACATTTATTGATTACAAATATTATAATAATCACCAAAAAAATTCTCAAAAACTCACCGTTCCACGAACTTCAGGATCAGTGATTTATTTTTAAAATCGAATGACATTTTGACAAGATTTTCAAGGAAAAGTGCTCAAGTATAATACAAGCAGGGCGTTTAACTGTAATCCCATTTCAAATGGTAAGTGTTCGAACTCGACGATCTTGCGGCAAAATGGGGGAATGTAAACATTGTAAATTTAAGAAATTAAAGTGACGAGAGAGTAACAACCAATCGAGACAATTCTCTTGACAAAACTTTGAACCATTCTAATACAGTTAAACCCTGCTTTACGGACACCCGCTTAACACGGACTCCACATTATTACGGAAAGTTCGCTTTGTCCCTATGGAAATAAAGCCTTTACATTTTCTCAAAATTCAACTCGCTTAAGGTGACTCGACCCAGTTTTTTTGGGGGCGTACCATCCTACTTTGAAGCTCTCTGGTATCCCCACCTTTACTTTTATCGTAAGCCTAACACATAGAATGGATAACATATAGATCAAACTACAATATGACATAAAATTTTTGGCGATCGGAGTAAATGTCACGTGGTTATAATGCCACGCCCCTTTGAGGTCTGAGTCGAAAATCTGCTGTTGCCGGCATTTTTTCGTGAAAATCTCTCGGCTACACATAGTGCGCATTAGTGCCTTGCGCTGAACAGAGTTTCACCAAAATCGCAAAGACCCAATTCGAGAAATTCAGCGGTTTCCAAATTTAGGTCATCATTTATGCGAAAATGATAAGCAAACTTTACACGGATTATATCTAATAAACTATGAGATTCATCCCTTTATTTTGGGCATCGTTATAACAGATGGGG